CCGACAACAAATGCTGGAGAGGCTGTGGGGAAAAAGGAACTCTCCTGCACTGCTGGTGGGAGTGTAGACTGGTACAGCCTTTGTGGAGATCTGTCTGGAGATTTCTCAAAAAGTTGGGACTGGAAATCCCATTTATTCCAGCTATTTCACTTCTAGGCATATTCCCAGAAGAACTGAAAGCATCATACCACAGTGATATATGTGCACCTATGTTTATAGCAGCACAATTTGTAATCGCCAGATCTTGGAAACAACCCAAGTGCCCATCAACTGAGGAATGGATAAAAAAGTTGTGGTATTTCTATACAATGGAGTATTATTCAGCTATAAAGAAGGATCACATTGAGATATTTATCAATAAATGGGCGCAGCTTGAGACCATACTCATTAGTGAAATAAATCAATCTCGCATGTGTGAATACCGAATAGTTTCCCTAATGTAAATAATGATTCAAATATATAAAAATATGTGGTAATCATGATTCCCCATTAGGTGGCCTTGAAGCCTTATAAAGTTTTCACTCACTAATTAGAAAGGCTTTATTCTGGGCTTCTTGATATGGAAATATTTGAAGCTAGAGTATATGAAGTTTTATCCAAATATTTCAAGGAAAAAGACACTATGGTAACTACTATTAAGTCAGGTTATAAGGTGGTGAAGTACTAGGTTGTTGAAACAGTCATGCTGTGACCTCTATTGTTATATTGTTAAGTCCTGTTTTATCTCAATCTCCCCCTTATTGTTTCAAAAAAAAATTATTTAGTCATTTCTTATGTTTGTCTTAATTAAAGAAAAAATTCAAAAAAATTAGGATATATAAATAGTAACTCTTTTCGATTTCCTATTAACTTGTTTTGAAGTCCTGTAGTACTCCCACGATCTCGTTTTGACTGATTAGACTCTGTTCCATTCTATATGATAGTATCAAGTTTGAAGACATAGGCAACTACTTTGAAGACAATAAGATTCACTAAGATACCCATTCTGGTTTGACTATTGTCTTCTTTGGAAGTCCTGTAATGTTTACAATGCCTAAGTTTTATTGGTCTTGTTCTCTACTGTTTTGTCCAACTTTATAATATCTAATAAGATAGACAATTCTTTTTAAGGAAACAAGGGACAACGTTGATAACCATTGTTGATAAACTTGTACTCTGTTCTACACCATGTGCTATGTCTATCCTTGGTATTGACTGACAGCTTTGTTTTGCCATATTTGACTGTATTCCCCCCCCCCCAAAGAAAGTAATAAGCACTAAGGAGTAATAAAATCCAAGATGTGTAAATTTTGTTGTAAAAAAGAGAGGGAAAAAAAAAAAGAAAAAGAGCTCTAACGGATATAACAGCAAGTGTGTTTGGGGGTGTTAAATAGCTGACTTTATCAATGTTTTTGGAACATTGAACACAGCTGTTTGCAGTCTCCCTGTTTGAATGTCCACCTTGTGTTCTTTGATACCGTGATTTGAGGAACTATTTTCAAGAAGATAGTGTGTAATCTACTAGCAGGTGATTTCTTACTGTTATGTTTTTTTGTTTTGTTTTGTTTTGTTTTGTAGTTCTGTATTGCGTGTACCCTTACGCCGCTTTGGTTTGTTTTGTGTTTTTCTCTTTTTCCTCTTAAATAAAAAAAAAAAAAAAAAAAAAAAAAAAAGATTTGCTTGGTTACTGCAGGTGAGTATGGTTTGACTGGGGAAATGTTCATCCTTTAATAACCCTACTCTGCCCCCAGCACTGAGGTTACATTATTACATGATTTGCTTGTAGTCAGCTAATTGAAAATAAATAGATTTGGTAACTTTGAATATATATATATATATATATATATATATATATATATATATAATTTCAGAGTGAACCTGGGAGATCTCTTAGGAAGCTACTGAGTACTGAATGATAAATGCCTGTACTGAACTAACAGTGGGAAATGAATGGAATTAGTTTAAAGTATATTGAGAGGATTGAGCTAGTAGATTGGTGGTTGGAAAAAGAGAATGAGAAGTTTTAACCATTTTGTTTCTCGTCCATTCTTCTGGGAAGATGGTGTTTGGAAAGGCTGGATAAGGGGAAATGTTAACAATTTAAAAAGAAGGTGAATTCATTTGGGAACCTTTTGATTTGGAGATGAATGTTATTAAACTGGCATATAGACATATTGTTTGGAGCTCAGCTGAGAGCAAATGTAAATTTTACACTCACTGCTGAATCAACAGTAGTTGGAGTCACAGGTTTAGGTATGACGTCCTGGGATAGAGTGTTAACTGAAGTGAGAAGGACACACCTGAAGAAAACTTGAGAAAATTCCCATCACTGGAGGCGGAGGAGGAGGGGGAGGGGGAGGAGGGGGAGGGGGAGGGGGAGGAAGATGAAGCCAGGAAGACACTGAAGAAGAACTACAGACACAGGAATTAAGGCAAAATAGAAAAACCTTGGGAGATGATGGAGGAAATAACTTTAAGAGTAGAACAAACCCTGTCGAAAGGGGCAGAGAGGTGAAGCAAGCTGATGACCTGCAAGTGTCCATTTAATGTTGGCTTTTAGGAGTCATAGACAGCTGGAATCAGGTCACATTCTAAGCATTTGTGTTAGGAAAAATATTTCTCATGGAAAAATACAACCAAGCCAAGTCAAAAATACACTGATGCCATAAAAATATCTCCTTTACTTATTTTTCTAAATGCTATAAGAAATTTTGGTCAACTGCCCAAAAACGAAAAAACAGGACTGGGGAAGGTAGTGTTTGCTGAACTGCTGTCCTTGGTATTTTAATCCGTTTCGGATTTTCAAATTCCATATTCTCAAAGTGATGAAGTTGGTTCCTCAAGTCAATTTCTCTATGTTTTTCAGGGAAATACTTTTATTTCCTTTATTACAGTAAATAATAGCTCCCTATTATCTTTCAAAATAACATTAAGAATGTTAGATTTATAATGTAGGGATTATAGTGTGACACTCACTGCACATCAATTTTAGAAGAATTTAACTTCAAATTTTTTTCCATCGCATTTCTTATGAAGAGAGACTGGGTTTCTTCCAGTTAATGGAAAAATTAAAAGCATCCAGGAAAAATTTATCCCATAGCAAGGTGTTTTGTGCCTAATTCAGACTTCCTGGCTTAATTTTAAAATGTGGAACACACAGAAAATGAAGTTCTAATCTGGTGACAATGGAGACAGGAAACAGGAGGGAAACAGAGACTTTGCTATTTAATAGGATCATTACAGGAGGTAATTTCCATGTCAAAATAAAGTGATAAAACAAAGCTCAAAATAGCTCAGGGCAATACCAGGAGCAGAGAAAGCACTGAACAAATTCAAAGATAAAATCAAATTCGGTGTGGCAGTGCACCCCTGGAAGACCAGAGTATGGGATGTTAAGTCAGGAAGATCACTGTGACTTTGAAGCCATTCTTAGCTACACCATGAGTTACAGACCAGCCTGGATTTACCCAGAGTGATCCTTTCCCAGATACAGAAAATCCAAAGAGAAAGGAGAGGTGGAAATCATGGCATAGCAAGTACCATTCTGGTTTAGTAAAGAATGAGATGAGTCCTGGGAGTTACCACTTCCTGAAACAGGAGTGCATGAATTAGGTTTCTTAGATGTGTAACAGTAGTCATGACTAGGATTATTTACTTCATTCTGGGTCAGTGCAAATGTTAATTTGTCAATAGAATCTCTCTCTAATTAACAAAAGAAAATTCCAGAAAATGTAGCATTTCCTAACTCAGGGTACCCTAGGTGAATGAGTAGATGTGTTCGTATTTCACTGATCTGCTGCTCACCTAAAGTCAGAGACAAGACTGACAAAATGGGGTTTCTGCTCCCTCAACACTCTTATCCAATTGGTCACAACCCTAGTCTTCAGGACAGCAGCAGAGCAACGATGCTATAGGGGACAGAGGAGTTCCTCAGTCCAGTCCGAGATACTCTAAATGTCTTAGAAGGTAGAGACATGAGGCCTCCCAGAACATTTCCCCATCTCATGCTGCTCCTGTATTTGTTAACAGAATGTATTTTCTAACCAACCTCATATTTTCTCAATTGGGAAACCAATTACGTTTGTCACCAAAATATTTTGATAATCTAGTGCTGTGCATCTGACTTATCACATTTTTAAAATCACTATGTATATTCAATGTGTCCAATGACATGCATTTGACTCAGGATTTGACTCAGGATGTGATTTAGAACTACGAGATTAAACTCTACTGTCTCAAATTTTCAAGTCCTCACAGTTATGCCCATCCTGTGACCTCCATTTGCTTGGTGTGAGTACATTCTTTCATTGGACCTGTACAAAGAGGCCTTGGAAAACAGAGATACTTGTAAGGGACTGTTATCAACCAATGATAGCCAAAGGTTACCACGTAGAAGACACGAGGGCTCCAGTTCTGTGATCTTGAAACCATCCCTGGAACGGACACTAACCACATGAAGTACATTTCCAGCTTTCAGCCCCGAGGGTTGCTGATACGAATTAGACCGTGTATCACAGTCTTTCTTTTCAATGAATAAAGTTGACAACTGGAGATTACTGAACTCTTGCTCTGAAAGCTCGGGCCACAGTGACACCTTTCTGATTCCTGTTCCTACTACTATTTTTAACACTATCCATGCACTGCATATTTTCTAGCAATTAACCTTCCCCCTACTTCTGCATGACCCAAAAATCTTACTCTCAGCCCCCCCCCCCCCTTAAGGTCACCTCCTTCACGAAACCTTTTCTAAATCTTTTCAACAGAATGTAATGTCCTTTTTCTCCGACCTCTCACAGTGTCTTGCAATTTACCCTGTGAAGTTTATGTGTTTAATTTATTCTATGGGGCAAACTCTTTTGTAGCTTCCTTGAAGGCATAGTTTTCTTTTTCTAGTTTGTGTTTTGTTTCAGCGAATAGATTGATAAGCAAATAGATATTCGACACCCTAATATTTTATTTTTACCTGCATTAAATTGCAGAGACCACAAGCAGCCAGGAAGAAAAGGTTTTTAAGACAGAAAATATTTTGAGGGGAGAGCAGCCGAGCACAGGACGCCAGCGAGCAGAGCGCACGGTGGACCGATGCATGTGGGTCGATTATATGAATCAACTTGCGAGCAGCCCTTGAGGCTCCCAGGTCTGCGAGGCTCCTGGCTATACCTGCGTTCTATTTGATCAAGGCTAACCCTTGCCCTGCTTTGTTGCTCTGAAATGAAAAGCTCCCCTCCTGAGAGCCCCGATATCCTCAGGGCTTTGTGTGGCTAGACTGAGTGGGGGTAGGCTGAGCTCTGGGTTGCTGAGCAGGTCCTGTTGGCCCAGTGGTCAAAAGTACTGTGACTCCATCAGATAGACCAGGCCGGGCCTGCCTCCGGGTTGCTGATTATCTGGGCGATTCTGATCCTAAAAAAAAAAAAAAAAAAAAAAAAAAAAAAAAAAAATGTAGATTAAAATCGGAGGTTTGTTAACTGCCACTCTTGTCTCAATGGCTTGCTGCCGGGCTGGGCTAGGTCAGTAGCTCGGCTTGCAACGCTTAGCACTGTGCATGATCCTGGGCTTTCTCCTAACATTACAGAACAAAACAAAGACAATGTTGTATATATATTTTTAATTTTAAGGAGAATAAAACCAAGCAGAACAAAACAGAACAAAGCCAACCAAAACAAAGCAATGTAAGTGACACAGGACTCTAAAACAATAGGAAATCAGTAATGGTCACCATAATGACTTTTGATGTCATCAAAACAGCTGCAGATACTTTCAGACATAGTAAAAATCAAACAATATAGGACAGAATAGAACCAATAAAAACAAAACAATGAATGCAATAAAAGACTTCAAACAAGTCAATAGTAAATTCAAAATGGTTACCATGATATATCTTGTTATCTTTGAAATAACTGCCTTTGCCATCAGATATAACAAAATAAAAAACACAATAAAATTCAACCCAAAAAAATAATAAAAATGATACAGGACTTCAGAACAAGATAACAGGGAATTAACAATGGCTAACACCTTCAGAAGGAGGTCCCCCTAGATGCCACACTGCATAAAAGGAAACAAGAAGGAAGGAGAAACATGTGTTTCTCCAGGTTAGCGCTATATTTTTTATCTAACTCATTTGCTTACTCTTGTCTTCCAAGAGTAAGACATGTCCTGTATTCAACAATTTGATCTTTGATAAAGGGGCTAAAAGCTTATTATGGAGGAAAAACAGCCTGTTAAACAAGTGGTGCTGGGAAAATGGATTGTCTTTTTGTAGGAGATTGAAACCAGGCCCTTATCTCTCACTCAAATGGATCAAAACTCAAATGGATCAAAGACCTAATCATTAAAACAGAAATATTAAACCTCCGGGAAGACAAAATAGATAAAACACTTGAAGCCTTCAGTGTAGAGAAGGATTTCCTAAACAGAACAGAATCACACACGAATGGATGTATCAGACTAAGACTGTGATTGTATCAGACTAAAAAGCTTCTGCAGAGCATAGCAATCCATCAGTAGAGTGAAGAGACAACCTACAGAATGGGAAAATATTTTACCAGGTATCCCCAGAAGATTAATATCCAGAATACCCAGAACTTAAAAAACATTAATGACCCAGCCAGAAATGGGCAAGAGACATGAACAGACACTTCACAGAGGAAGATGGTCAATGGTCAATACAGATGGTCAATGATACATGAAAAATGTTCAACATCTCTGGCTACTAGAGAAATGCAAATGAAAACAATACCAAGATTCTACCTCGGTCCAGAAAGAGTGGCCATCATTAGGAAATCAAGCAGTAACAAATGCTAGCATGATTGTAGCAAATAAGGGATCTTCCTGCATTGCTGATGGGAATGCAGCCTAGTTGCAAACATTATGGAAATCAGTATGGAGATTTCTCAAAGAACAGATTAGAAATTCCTTCCAACCCAGCTATCCCCCTGCCAAATATCTTCTTCAAAGAACTTAGATCATCATAGTACAGCAATCCTTGGATACCAGTGTTTATAGCAGCACAATTTGGAACAACTAAATCCTGGGAGCAGCCTGAATACCCATCCACAGAGGCTGGGATAAACAAACTATGGTATCTATATACAATGGAATACTACTCAACTGTAAAGAAAGACAAACATGAGACATTTGTAGGAAACATCATCAACTGGAAAATATAATGATAAGTGAAATAAATCAGACACAAAAGTTTCAATACTATGTGGTATCTCTCATTTGAGTGAGGCAAAATAAAACAAAGCGAATGATATAGGACAGATAGAAAGGGACATGGGAACAGATCTCCTTCAGTAGGGAAAGGGCCCAGTGGAACTTGGAGAGGGTTGAGGAGGAGGGGAAGGAGAAATGAGAGGAGTAAAGGTGTACTATATACACGGTACTAACTCCAATCAACCTAAACATTATAGCCTTATGAAGTGCTAAGACAAATAATGAGAACAAAAATGGTGGTAGGGGAACCAGAGGGTGAGGGAGTAGGAGGAGGAAAGGGGAAGGGGTTAGACAACATCTGTAATATTTCCATGTATCCATTCCCCAAGATGATTGCCCTGAAATGCAAGCCACTGCCTGAAATGCAAGCATGTACTAATAAAATAAAATAAACATTTAAAAATAGGTCATGTCCCAATTGGCCAGAGAAGGACATGTTTACTTCAAAATATGCATACAGTGTCATACAACTTGGAAATTAGATTTGAAATATATAGTTGTATTTTTTATGCCACAATCAAAGAGACTAAATCTGAGAGAATACCAAAATATTTGAGGGCTCTGTGTGTGTGTGTGTGTGTGTGTGTGTGTGTGTGTGTGTGAGAGAGAGAGAGAGAGAGAGAGAGAGCGTTAGCCAACTCAAGCTTACCTTTAACTGCCCTTCATGTAGACCAATGTCATGGTAATTATTCTTTGCGCAGATAAAATATTTCTTTCCCAAATTGCACCTGAGAATATATTTTGGGTTCTATTGGCTGTACTGAAAAGTCATAAAGATATTTATGATTATCTTCAGAATAGTTAAAAGTTTAGAGCTCCAGGGAAATCTAGGTATAGATTCTTTTGGAATAGCTGAGGCAGTGGAAATTACTGTGAGGTTAATAGGGACAAGGGAATAGCTCGGAGTGGGGGGTTGACTCTTCCCATTTAATGACAAAGTTAACCAAGGTCTAGTTTAGAGCACTCTAATCTTCCTAAGTGGTGCACAGCAAAAAATCTGGAGGAAGGGAGGAATGGAGGAAGGAATGAAAGGAGGGAGAGAGGGTGGACGAATTCTGTCTGAATACAGACCAAGGGAAGCAATTGGCTCTGGTGGTACCAGGCCTGCCAAACATCCAGTAAGATTGTATCACAGAGCCAGAGTCAGCAATAAAAGAAAATAAAGCCAACTGACTAAATCAAGGTCAGATATGACATTGGTCCTGAATCAACATGAATATTCACAGGTTCAAAGTCCTATAGCCAAGCATGCATGCAGGTGCATTACTGCGGGGCCCTCTTTCCCTCTCTCTTTTTCATCTCCTTCCTTCTTGTTTCCTTTTTTTTTTGCTTCCTCTCCTCCTTTTTCTCTACCCTCCCTGCTTCTTTCCATTCCCTTAACTCCTTTTTCTTTTTATAAGAACAATCTCTATCGCATGCACCCTTTGAAGCATTTATTACATTGATGAGTAACATGTGTTCCCAAGCAGAGTTCTCAGACTGTGTGCCGAGGACCTAGGTTAGTGTTTGTTTTTATTTACTCTATCCTGCATACTCATCTGCAGGGCATTAGTTGTTTACAACCTAAAATGTGAATCAAATGCCGAGCACATGGCCTGTGCTGTTGAAAGTTATGAGCTTTCAGGCAGAACACTAGCCCTGCCCTCCAAGCTGGAATAGCTGTCCTGACCCATGTAATGTGTGCCACTCAGCAGAGGTTACTTGTAATCATGGTGCCAAGCAACTCGGATGATGGCCGCACATAGACTGACGGATAAAACAGAGACATCTGGAATGAAACTTCAAGTAAAAAGAATAATTTTTCTTGCAGGATAAATGAATCATTGTTATCATAAGTAACGTTAGGGTGAAATTTTTCAGATTATACAAAATATACTAAGCTACTGTTGTAATAATGTGAACAATGATATTAAAGCCATTTGGAAGGAATGCAAGACCAGGCTTAAAATACATTGTAGTTTAAGTTAAACTTCATGACAGCTGAATAAGGGATTTTTTATTACCTTTTAATGAGCTAATTTTCCCCCCAATTTTAATAGTGACCAGAGGTCAACCCTGGTGGGTGGCACAGAGTGGATCTGTAGGAAACCCTTATGAATCATCCTTATGTTAAAGTACAAGGCAAAGGCATTCAATAAAAAATGTCTTTCAAAATATGAGAGAATCAAATATTCACAGAATATCCTGGATGCTTTACAAAAGAGAAAACTAATGTGAGGTGTTTTTTTTTGTGGATAAAGCTTGGATAAAATAGGAAGTTATTTCTTAAAGAATACCAAACCATGTTGACTAATCCCCATGTTGATGTAGATACAAGCGTCCATTATTGGCTGTTGGTCTTTCTGTCGTATTCTCATATTTTGGAAAATGTGAATTATGTATGTGTTGAACCTGAAGGGTCAAGGGTAGAAAGGTGGGGCATTTCTGAAAGTTTAGTCTAGAGAGATTGAAACAAAGCAAGTATAATCCTAAATCCAGCACAGAATTTGAAATGTTGGTACCTGGTGTTGGTGGCCTCTCAGATCTTGGGTCCCATCTTTAAGTCTGAAGTAGAAGTTCGATGGGGATTTACAAGTGCTCCTGGTAAGATGGTAATGACAGTAAAATATTAATTGGTGCAATCCTTTGAATAGCAAATTTCTGTTCCAAATCAACCAGCCCTAACGTACTACTTTCTGTATACCAGGAACTACACTAAGTCATTTACATTATTTACTGTATAACAGAAATCTTAGGAGTATTAATTTTTCACTTAATATTTCTATATTGGGAAGTTATACTGACATCAACAACTACATAAATAATGGTAAAGGAACATGTTCGACCCAGCATTATTTATATATATAGTACAAATTTTAAAACCTATCTGGTAGTAAAGGATGTTTAGGTAAAGTTACATGACAGGGTGTCATACACACATTGAAACTGTGTTTGGGAAGAATGCCTAATAAGATGGGAAAATGATTTGCAAGATTTTGAGTAACTAAGTGTTTACAGTATTAAGCAGAACATGAAATAAGATGCAAAACAACATGAAGAAAGTAACTTCAATGTCACAACAGATGATACACTATTTTTTTAAAAAAGACTTAGGTGGTAATATCTCAGTGATGGAAAATCTGAATAATTTTAAGCTTTAAACATGTACTTCCTAAGTCTTCTACACTATGTGGGTACTAAGATTA